ATCAATTTCATGTAAAATAATTAAATTAGATAATTGATAAGATTAAAGTTAATTTTTCTTTTTTTATACAAATTAATAATAAAAAATAAATATATCTTTAATCTATATCTTTAAAAGATAAACTAGAAAGTTGTTTAAAAGAATAGCTGGCAAAAAAAAAATTTAATAAAAATTTTTCTAACTTAGGTGTAATTAATATATATTTTGACAATTAATTTATATAAAAAAATTAATTCATGTAATTTTGTAGTTCTCAATTTCTCTTCCTTCAAACTTCTTTTTTTCTATTTTTGCTAAATTTTAGATTTACAATTAATTCTTCAAATTTTCTAAATTGAGATAATTTTCATGAGTAAAAATAAAATGCTGTTTAGTTATAAGACTATCCTATAGTATGTATGGTTTTTTATTCTTATTTTCTTGACAAAGTGACAATTGAAATTTAATTAATCTAATTGATTTTCATTGCAAGTAATTAAATTTTAATGTATGAAAACTAAAATTACAATAATTAAATCTTAATAAAATATTTAAAAAAATTCAAAAATATTAATAATTTAATAACATGAAAGGCCATGTCCGACTTCAATATCTCCGTGAATCCATTCTAACTAGAGAACCGTTAATTTTAACGGAACATTGAAATGGGAGTTAAACAAGGGCTAATTTGCCACCGCTCATGAGTTTAAGGGGTAGTGCTACTGATTTCAGTTGAGGGGCTTTTTTGCCACCTCTTGACATGTTTAGGGGGTAATTTGCATGATTCGCCAAAAAAATATATATAAATATATAATTGCAGAAAGGAAAACCGGGGGGAGTCGGGAGAAGATTAAGCAACTTGGGTAAATTAATTTGACAAAAAGGGACAAAACTGGAATCACAAAGTACTAATTTAGAATTATTTAAAATCTTAGGACTCTTGGGGAAACATTTTTGAAGTCTTCCTCAGATAGCACTATATTTTTAAAGCCACCCTAATTCGGAATTATCCTTTTTTTTCTCCCTTCTTTCTAGTTTCAAATTTGTTTATTATTATTTACCAATCAACCCACTCTCCGCAAGAAAGTGAGAAATATTTTGTCTATTTCTTATGAAAAAAAATATATCTTTCATTAGTCATTAATAAATTTTTTTATTTTTCCAATAATATCAAATATAAAAATTAGTTAATTTTCAGAAATAAAACCAATAAAATTGAAGTTATGGCCTTTAAATGCAAATTATAAATAATACTATTAAACCGGTACTCTTTTTAATCTAATTTAGTTGTCTTACTTTTTATTTTAATAGTATATTAAATGTTAATCTTTCAATATTACCCTCATCTCTAAAAAGATATAAATGTGTTGGAATTTTTTTGTTTAATTACAAGTAATGGTGAAAATAGAAATACAAGTCTTAATTATTATAATAAATGAATTTCTTAATAATCATAAATAAATAAAATGGAATCACTAAAGAGCATTTTTTATGTGTAAGTATTAAAATTGCATTCTTATTTTATAAATTTGCATATAATAATGACTAATTAGGGTCCAAATATTTTACTAAATATTTAAACATTAAATAAAGTTTTGTTTAATATGGTTTTTTTTATATTTTTGTTAATTTAAATTTGAGTGTTGTTACTCAGGCTTTTTTTTTTTTTTTTGATGGATTGTTACTTAAACTTTTAAAAAATAATTAAATTTTATATTTAATTTTATTAACTAAAGCAAAAAATTTTGAAAATCTTACAAGGCAAATTATTAGTCCAGTGGTATATTGTTTAATTTGTTTAAAGGTATTGAATTTAAGACTTGTTAACATGCACTTTACGATGAATAATGATAAGTGAAACCAAAATCTAGACTAATGATGTGACCTAAGAGATACTATTTAAAATATTAAAAAATAAATCTTATATTAGTTAATTGTTAATTTTTTTTTATTTTTTTAAACATATAATATTATTTATATCAACTAATTTAATAAAATGACTTGCTGCATCATTGGTTCAATTTTTCATTTTAAATTTTCATCTTCCTTATCATTACTCTTTTACAATCAATAGTATAAAAATATCAATGACTTACTGCATCATTAAGTCCCCTTCAGTTAAAACTTGAGTTCAAATATTATGAATGAAAAAATAAGTGCCAAGAGAATTTCTCCTTTAATAAGGTCCGATCTGACTCGATTACGAATTAGTAAAGACACAATTAAGTTATCAAATATTGAAAGATTAGTAAAAAACAAAAAAAACAATAGTATAAAATACCTTTTTCCGGACCAGTCCAACTGGTAACCAGTGAACAGAGAGATCGGCCATCAGTCCATTTTTTTAAACATTTGATAAAATCATAAATGTACATCGATTAGCTAATGCAAAATAGTGGGATTATATACATATATATATATATATATATTTAAGTACTACAGAATAGTGAGATATGTTTGTATGGTCATTACTTTGCATCATGCAATATACATAAGACCTCATTTACAGTCATAATTGATGTCACTGAGCACGTAGACATCAGTGCATATACTTGTACATACGGAAATATCACAGATATTGTAGCAACGTAAATTTACAGATAATGCAAGTGCTTCGCTCTCTGAATCGCCTGCTTCACCTTATTTAATGGCTCTTCGTACAAGATGGCAGGGTCGTCAAACTTGGATGCCAAACTGGGCTCCCCAAGAAATGCACGGAATGAATCTACCACTGAGTTAGACAGAGAATCAAGGTTGTACCCGCCTTCCAAGAAAAATACACAGCGTCCCGCACATAAATCTTTGGCAAGTTGTTTAATGTTAGATGCCAGCATGTAGTATGTGCCTGTTGTGTACTGCAAACTTGCCAATGGATCCAGTACGTGGCCATCATACCTGAAAAGGGATCAAGTTAAAACCTTCAACATATCTTCGGTAGATCTTAAACTTCATATCTCAAAATATCAAGATCTTCTATCTAGGTTCCATTAAGTATGAAAGCAAGAAAACAAAGACAACCAAAAACATATAGGTTAAATCCCCATTTCGGTTCCTCTACTTTAGAAAAAAGCTCATTTTTAATCCTTCTACTTAAAAAAGCCCTTTTTTGGTTCCTAAAGTTTGAAATCCTATCCCTTTTTAGTCCTTTCGTTAAGTTTTGCATATGTGGCACATTACATGACGGAAATTTTATAGAGGGACCAAAAATTGGCTAAAAAGGGACTATAAATAACCTCAATTTGGTCCCTCTACTTTGGAAAATAGCTCCTTCTTAGTCTCTCCTTTGAAATTTCCATGTCAAAACTAAATGGAAAGACTAAAAAGGAGCCGGTATTCATACTTTAGGGATCAAAAAGAGCTTTTTTTAAGTAGAGGAACTAAAAGAGGGCTTTTTGCCAAAGTAGAGGGACCAAATTGGAGTTTTAACGAAACACATATGGTCCTTCAGATCCTCTTTGCTTTCTTCTGAGAACCAACAGCCAAGCTCGAGATGATTTGCTTCAGGCCATATGAGAATAGTCTCTAAATGTCAAGTTCTAAATTGAACTGAACCTTGAAATGCTATTTCAGTCTTGGATATTTGAGCATCAACAAAATTTTAATAAAGGAAAAGCAGCACACTCACCCAGCAGAGACAAGAATTATATCTGGCTTAAACCTCTGTGCACAGGGCACGATGACTTCATCAAACACATTTCTCATTGAAGTATCACCTGAGCCTCCAGGCAGAGGTAGATTTAAGGTTGCTCCTTCACCAGCTCCTCGACCTATCTCATCAATTTTTCCAGTGCCTGGGTAGCTTCCATCCTATATCAACGAGATATAAGCAGGATATATTGCTTAGCTACCATATTCTGACGAGGAACAAGAAACTAAGGACAAGTTATGTACATAATTTATCCAAATAAGGAAATTTCTCCACCTCCCCTCCCCTCACACCAAACAAGCTTATAAGAGTTTTCTATCCTCTTAGGTGTAATGCCTAAAGAAATGTAGATGTGACTCTAGGGTTCTTCTATCTTTCTCTTCCTAAATCCTTTGTCTGCCCTTTTCACTCTTAAATCTCAAATTTTACAATACACACACAATATTCACAGCCTAATTCAGCCCAGGTCATCCTTTAAACCATAAAACCACCACACACTCAAACCTGTCAGGAGCATATTCTGCATTAGGTTTCTGAAGTGTGCATCCATCTAATGTTAGCAGAAATCACATGCAACATCTTTGGTTTCAATAGAATGTTCATGACTGGCTATAGTTTTAAGTGAAAAGTAAACTCATACAGCAATATATATTTAGCACAATCCTGGCAGCCTTTAAGCCATGAAAAGCAGATGTTTGATAGTCATATGAAAGGGACAAGACATTCAGATTGAATAAGACAATTTGCAACTAAAGAGCAAAATATGATAAAAACATGCTTATAAATACTGGCCCCTGGCTTACTTGATGAGTTGAAAGGAAGAATATATCTGGATCATCATAGAAGACATCATTCGTCCCATTTCCATGGTGAACATCAAAATCAATAATAAAAACTCGCTTTAATCCATGGACACGCTGAGCATGACGTGCTGCAATTGCCACATTTCCAAAAACACAAAACCCCATTGGACCTTTGGGAATAGCATGATGTCCTGGGGGTCTTATCAAAGCAAAACCCACAGGTGGATCTGTGCTTATATTTGATGCTGCAACCTGAAATAATGCAAAAAATGATTTTTTATTTTAGCTATTTTCTTTAAACGATAGAGCAAACATTCACTAACATGAATTATACCATTAGCAATGTTACAACTAATTTCATCAGGTGAAGATTAATAAGTTTAGCAGAAATGGAAAATAAAAGGATTATCATAAAGAAACTAACTTTATAGACCAAGACATCACCACTGAATCAACTAAGGCAAGTCCTGCTCCGGCTGCAACAAGCGACTCATGGAATGTCTGCATCATTAAAATCATCATAAGAGAAGGTAGAGCAAGTACATAAAGCAAATGATTTAAAAATGTCATTTAAGCAACAAAATAACAACTGACTTACCATGGCAGTAGCATATGTTGGTCCAGAGCCATCAATGAAAATAATGCCCTGCTGCAGAGCCCTATCCATAGCCTATAAATTAAAGCATGTAACAAAGACATCATGCTCTGGTCACGAGAAAGAGAGCAGAAAGAGATGGGAAGATAGAATCAGTATGTCTAATTGTGTTTACATGTGCATGCCTGGTTGTGCATATGTGCTTAAGTGTATAAAAGTATGTACATGGTGAGCCAAATAAGAGGTAACTAAAAAGATATGAAAATTAGCTTTGCATTCTCAATAATCCTACAAGAGGGATGGAGCAGAAAGCAGAATATAAGACAAGTACATGTGAATGCAAAGCAACCTTTTCAAGACCTGATACATAAGCCTCTGCATGAACACTTGCAATGTCATCTACTGAAGCAGGCTTGAAACTTCTAAGTTCAAAAATCTCTGAGCCACGGAACTGATTAAAGGGACAGCAAATAAGAAACAGCAAACAGTTAAAATATATCATACAAGGGAATTCTTTTATTTTCATATATGTGGGAATTCATCAATTCATCTTTGCATTGATGATTATTAATCTTTGAAGTCTTACTTTATTTACAAACATAATTGTATCCCTAGCAACATCTTTTTTGTGTAAGTTCTTATCATTAAACCGTCAAGTCACATCCTACAATGATGGTGAAAATGAAAGAGACCAAAAAAAGGGCATACATTTTTCTACCTTTGAAGTAAGCTCCATCTTTTCAAGCGCATCAACAATTGCAGGGACTCTAGCACTGGATTCTGGATGTGACTCCTGTACTAGTAACCGAATTGGTTCATTAGAAATCAATTTGTATATCTTTCATTCTCTGTAAACTTAAAGGGACTAAATCAATTATTCAGGTGCTGTTCATGATTCCATATGTATCTACTTTCATCTTCAACATTTTAAACCAATTGACAATTTTAGCACAGTCTAGTGTGTTTGTGACTTCATGTAAAAGAAAGAACAGACATAGAAACATGTGAATGACAGAAAATCATCAAACTAGAGGGATGCCTTACAACCAATGTAGCTGATTTTTCTTTTTCAGTATGGGTGTCTAAGGATTTGTTTTTAAAAAAGGGTAGAATCCTTAATTTGTCCCTAACCCACTTTCATCCCTAACATTTATTTTGTACCACAAACAGTCCCTAACCTTTTGGAAAAATGTCCACCACTGGTATTTCCACTAATTTGGATGTTAAATGTAGTGGAAAATGAAGATTTGGTGAATGTGGGCCCTGAACGGACCCTTTGAGTTGGTAAATGCTTGCATGCCTTCTTTTTCTCTCTTTACATCATATACTGCTCCCACTTAAAGGGTCTATGAAGGCTCCACTACTCACTGCATCATTATTTTTCATTGGGTTCAATGGCTTATGGCACAAAATGAAGGTTAGGGATGACAGTATCCCATGCCAAAACAGTTAAGGACAAAAACAGAATTTACACTCCAAAAAAATAAAAAAATAAAAAAAAAGGGAAAAAAAATTAAAAAAAAAGGAGAAAAGTTTTAAAGAAAATTTAAAAGGTTGGGCATGTATATTGACTTTACAATGCCTCTGCACATGATTCAAGCATTTGGAAAGTAACCCTAAACTCTTAATTTAGTCCCTCTATTGATGGGAGATAAGCAAAATGTTCAATATCAAATGAATAAAACTATATCCAAATCATGACTTAAACTGACTCAACTTCTACAATCCCAAATATTAACCTGTTAATTTATATTATTTATCAACACCAGAGCCAACAACTATACCTGGTTATGACCCAGGGCAGGAGCAAGGCTGTAGATCACTCTTGCATCAATTAGATGTTGTTTAGGAGGCAAGGCAGGATCCTTCTCCATGCCATACAAGCAATAAACATAAGCTCCAATATTTTTTCTGAATGATTTCTTCGTTGATATTAAATGCTTCTGAAAATGAGCACTACTCATAGATCTTGTCTCCATGCCAAGTCTATTATAATTCCTCCACTTGCACACATGGTTCGACACCCAAAATGCCATATTTCCTACAATAAGAAAAATGGTTTTTGCATTCAGAAATATAAATCATAGTAACATCAATGTTGTGTTGGCAACTTGAAAAAGGTGGATGAAAACAATACCAATATTAGAAGAACTGGAACACTAAAATATTCATTAATAAAAAAAAAAAAAAAAGGAAAAAATTTCCACATCCTGCCTGGAGATATGTATGAGTGTATCAGAAATAGTAAAATGATTTTGGTTCAATGTTGACATTTTCTTTCAAATTTTTTTCTTTTCATCACCCTTGACAAGATCTAATTCAGCCTAAATGTCATATAACTATTAATTATAAAAATAAAAAAACAGATAACTAAATTGATATAGAAGCCTTTCTCAGAAAAATTTCAATAAACAAACAAGATTATCAGATTACCATATATTCATAGTATTTTGCAATGGCAAAATGACAAGCAAAAACAAACTATACTGATGCACTATCAACAAAAAAGCAATAGCAGAAGAACACCCAAAATTCCCAAACTCATATAAACACATAATAATTAGATAACTCCATAAGGAGACAGAAAAATTAAAGTTAAGGATGAAGAACCTATGAATTAGAAGCAACCATTTGATTCCTTACAGCCTATCACTTTGTACGATACCTTCAACTTTCCGGCGCGTCCCTTGAATGTATACGGGAGAGAGAGAGAGAGAGAGAGAGAGAGAGAGAGAAGTACCTGCAAAAGGTGGAGGACGGAAAGTTTGGAGATCCATCGGGAAAGCGCAGCGGCTCGTAACTGCGCCGTCCATATTGCTTTTATCCGTTCGGGGAACTGAGGACCATAATTTTTTCTCTGGTTCAAGTTTTTATTTAATTTATTTAAGAGTTTTTCTGATACTTGTTTACGTGAATGGCATATTTATTATATTTTTTATTATTAATTTGTATAAAATAATTAGAACAAGTAAATTTTATTTTTAATATTAATATTATATAAAATTATTTAATTAAATAATTAATAAAATTAAAATTTATTTTTATTTTTATATAAATTAATGATAATAAAATAGTATAATAAATATACTATTAATCTATACTTATATCTTAAAGGAATATATTAAAAAATGTATTTATTTATTTAATTAAAATTATCTATCTATTATTAATGGCGAAGTTAATATTATTTTTATATTTTTAATAAGGATCAAGGAAAATTAAGATAATTATTTAATAATATTTAAATAATTTTATCAATAATTTTAATATTTAAAGTATTAGCACATCATAATTTTTACTCTTTTTTTAATATTAATTAGTATTTAAAAATTATAATAATTATATTTTTTTGGATTAGAGACTAACTTAACTGCAAAAATAGTTGGCAGACAACATTACATGAAGTTAGAAAGTATTTATAAAAAAATATTGAAAAATATTGTATAAAAATAATTAAGTTTTGTCAATAAAATTTTATTTGATTATTAACTTTTTTTCATATTTAATAAAAAAATTAAGAAATTTGATAGAGAAAGTTGCGGAAGCTTTTTCAGTTAAAAAAAAGTAAGTGAGGAAAAAAGTTTACAAATTAAAAATTATATTAAGAAAAAAAATTAATAATATTATTTTATCCTTAATTATTTTAATTTTATAGTATATAAATAACAAAATATTCTTATAAAACCCTAGATAAATATTTCTTAAGAAAATTTCCTAAAGAATAGTTAGGTCTAAGTGTAGTTATGATCGTCCATTCAAATATTAACGTCACAAAGATGTTATTTAATATAATTAATATTTTATCAATTTTGTTTTTTTTAATATTTAATTATGATAGTTGAAAGTGTAATTTTATAAATTAATTTTAATTTATTAAATAATAAAATTTTATTATTTTATTCATTATTAATTATTTTAAACTGTTAAATTATATAAAATTAATATTTTTACAGTCATGAATATATGGCCTTTAACATTTGGCTGTGTAAACATAAGTATGTCTTCATAAAAATCATTATTTTTAAATAGTGCTAATGAAACTTTTTAAATATTATTTCATTAATAAAATTTTATAATTTTAATATTTAAATTACAATTTAATTATTATAGTGTGTGACATGAAAGCTTGAATATCACTGTTATGAGTCTCATTATGGACTGTTACGAGTGTTTGTTCGGTATTGACTTGGCTGCGTTTCTTTTCTTCGGTACTGTTCTATTTGGTTTTTTCCGAACTCAGAAAAAATAAATAATAAGAATAATAATAAAATAAAAGAAGCAGACTTCTAAGTCCAACAACTAAAAGTTTATTGGTCAAATAAAAAAATTAAAAAATATTTTTAAATAAATTATTTTAAAAATATAATTTATTTTATAAATTTATTTAAACATTTTTAATATATTTTATTAAAAATATTTAATAAATTACTATGTACATACACAATCTATTATAAAAAAACTTAAATCTCTAAAGTAATAATATTGCTTTAAGCCCAAATGTCATAAAAGATCAATTTTAATTTTCCTTTAATAAAAAGTTGAGGCCCAGCATGAGAGCCCAATACGAAAATAATACTGGTGGTTTTAAACAAAGAAATAAAATCGCGTTTGATTTCCAATGGGCCTAGTCAACACTTAGCAAGCTTCCAGCAATAAAATTCCTGACGCAATTGTCGGTATAGCCCATGCTATCACTTTGCTTTTAAAAGGTAATATAATATTGTCTCATGTAAGATAACTCATTAATTAAGAATTTAAATTTTTATATTAAAATTTTAAATTTAAATTTTGAAATAAATGTAATAATAATCAAATAAATTTTAATTTTAAAGTACACAATCTTATTTAATACGAAAGTTGTAGGGTACGCAAGCATTCTTTCTTAAGTCTAACTAAACCACTTTTCTTGAATATTTTACAACTTATGGTGATTTACTCCATTTATTTGGATCGATGGCAACACTCTTTTCCTTTCCTTTTATTTTCCTTTGCCTTTTATTCTTCTTTTTTTGTTTTCTCCCTTCCTTTTTCTTTACTTTTTTTTCTTAATTTCCTATTTATTTTCACTTTTGGTTTTTCAAATTCGTCATCAATAGTTTAGTGACTTTACTAAAGATTTGAACCCAAAATATTTGATTTTCATGTTTGAGTTCACGAAGTCTAGCTAATATTCTAACTTTAAATAAAATTTTGAGTGTTTGTTTCTCTTTTATTTGTTTTGATTGTTTATTTGCTTTGGGTGCTTCTTGATTGCTTGGTTATTTTTTTGTTTTTACTTGTTCCTTTTCTTGTTTCCTTGATTGCTTACTTAGCCATTTTCTTACATGTTTCATACATCATTCATATTATATTTACATACATCATTTTGGGTTTTTCTATTTTGAAGGAAGTACAATTAGACGGGTATTTCCATTGTTTGTGAAGGGTTAAATGTTAATTTTGAATATTTTTAATCGTTAAATTATTTTTTATATTTTTTTAATTTCTAAACTATTTAAAATACAATTTTTTAGTCCTTTTATAAGTTAATTCATTAAATTTATTTTTATATATACATTTTTAGTTCTTAAATTATAAAATATACGTATATTATAAGTTGAGAAATTAAAAATATGCATAATTAAATAAACTTTACAAACTAACGAAAGTACTAAAAAACGTATTTTTTATAATTGAAAGACTAAAAAAAGTACAAAATGTAGTTCAAAAATTAAAAATATTTAAAATTAAAAGTTTAAGAACTAAAATTGGTGTTTAACCTTTGTGAAATGATTAGGACAATGATACCTTAGAAAGGCAATGCAAACAGAAAATTTGGGTAATTTCACCTATCTCTTAGGTGATTCTCCTTTTACAAATAATTGTTTTATGCTTCTTTATGCTTTTTTTTTTCTATGGCATTTTAACTCTTTACTTACTCTAAGTTCCACGTTTTCCTTTAATAACAGAAGCTTCAAAGTCTTCATTTATAAATTGAATCTTTTGATTTCTCTTATAAGGCTGCAAAGGCACCTTTCATTCTTAAAACTTTCTGATTTTCTAGTCGAAGTTCATAGTTTTCTTCTATTATCCAAGACTTCAAAATCTTTATTTGTTAATCAATTCGTTCAGTCTTTCTGTTGCGGCCTTAAACAGCATTTTAAAGCCTTTATTGGCATTCTGAAGCCATCTTTGGCATCCCGTAACCTTAAAGTGGTATTTTGCAATCATTCCTTGCATTCGATAGCATTCTGCGATCATTTATTGCATTCTATGATTGTGAAATGACCTTTGGCGTTCATTCATCTTCTACGGCCTTAAAATGGTGTTCCATGGCCTTTGTTAGCATATTGTGACCATTGGCATTTTATGATATTCTATGACATTCATTGCAGCTATCATTGACATTCTGCGGTCTGTAGGCATTTTAATTGTTATACTATGGCCTCTCGGGGCAATTTAATATCTGTTTCTGTGGCCTGCCTAAGGCATTTCAAATTGTGCAAGTCAAGTTCTTGTTGCTTTGTGATTTATTTGCTGTCAAGTTTTCGTAAAAGAAAAACAAAAGAAGGCACAAAAAAGGCACTTATTGTTATCTTTTCTCACAAGGTAAACCATTCAGTAGTAAGTTACTGCATATGTTAGAACTTTTCTTGCTTCTTTATGTTCCTTTGAAATAAAATTGAGTTATTTTTTTTTTATTTTATAACAAAAAAAATGTAAAAAAAGACAATTGTCATAACTTGATTTTAATTAGATAGTTTGGTAACTTTCTCTGATTTTTCTTGGCTTAATCTACTTTCATGATTTCAATTGGAAATTCAAATTTTGATTATTTAATATTTTACCAAAAATAATTGGAAAATTATTTTTGAAGAAATAAAGATTAATTAGAGAAAATAAAAAAGGAATATGTTGGACTTCACTATATATCAATTTTGATTTCACGTATCTTAATTGAAGCTAAGGAAGATTCGTGTGACTAACTTGGAAAAGAAAAAAAATGGGAGTGCAGTGGAGAAGAAAACGAACACGAAAAGTCAAGAGGACCAAATTTCTTAATTTTTTTTATTTCTTCATCAAATCTTTCTATTTGTTTAGGCTCAATTCCATCCAATTGTGGTTCTAAATTTTAAATTTTAAATTTTATATATTTAATAACTAAAATATTACGGTACCTTTAAACTTTTAAATTGCTTATACATAGAAAAACCAATCCCGCTTATTGTTGTAAAACTTACTGGCAAATTACTTGAAGTTTAGAGATTTTTATTTTATAATTTAAATTGTTATGTATTATAAAATAAAAATTATGTAATATAAAGAAAAGATTTTGAATATTAAAAAACTTTTTTTTGTTATATAATTAATATTTTATAATTTAAATATTTTATAATTTAAAATAATTTAAATTATAAAATATTTTTTTATAATTAATTTAATTTATTAAAAGTTCTTCGGAGGGCTAGTTCATTAGGTGCTCTGTGTTGGTTTGGCTCTGTAAGCCACGGAATTCTGATTTTCATTTTAAAAAATTATTAAAGAAAATAAAGTAATCAAACTCAAAATGGGAAACTAATGGAAAGGTTCACGGGCGGAGTAACTACTAACTAATAAAGTGGGATGAGTTGTTGACATGATAAGGTGGGGCGCAGACTAACTACAGGAAGAGTTCACAGGTTGAAGACAAATGGAATCATATCACGAAGAAAATTAAGAGGCTGGTTGGTTTAGATTATTAAAATTTTTACTTTGAATATTATTTAAGAATAATAAATTTAAATTTTTATTAAAAAAATTTAAAAATTATTTTTAAAAATTAAAAAAATAAGTA